CCGCCCCGTCCGTGTCGCTCTCGCTGGCGCTGTCCGCCATGGCCGCGGCGGGCTGGGGAAAGGAGGAGGAGGAGGAGTAGGGAGGCGGCGGCGGCGGCGAAGGCTGCGCTGCGAATGAGTGGGCGCGGGGAGAGCTCAGGGAGCGCCGAGCCGAGCGCCTGGCACCAGGGCGCAGACTCGGAGCGGCGGCGAGAGAAAGAGAGGGAGCTTCCCGCTGCCAAGGGACCTCCTCTGCCAGAGAACAGAGACCCCGCCCGGGCTCGGGCAGTATTGCACTGGGGCTCGCTCCAGCCCGGCCTGGCGCGCACCCCGCCCCCCAGCCAAGCCGCCAGCCCTGCCCCAGAGGGGCCTCTTCCCCAGAGGCACGAAGGGACCACGGGTAGTTGCCCCAGTAGCCTTCCCTCGCACCCCGCGAGGGTCCTGGGCCCCCGAGGACGACAGACCCGCGTGGCCCCGAAGGGACACCTCCCTCTCCCCCCGGAGACCAGTAGGTCTCCGCAAGGAGTGTCCGTGCTGCGGGGCCCCGGGAGTCTGGGGGGTCCCGTGGGCTGCCTGGGTCCGGATGCAGCCCCTCCCGGGGGCGTGCGGGGGTCGGCGCTGCGGCGCACCCCCGGGGGGCACTCACGATGGTCACGCTGGCTTTGCGCAGGTCGCGGTTCTCCTCCTGCAGCGCCTTGCACTTGAGTTTGTAGGTCTCCAGCTCGATCTTCAACACCTTGTTCTCCTGCTGCAGCGGAGGGCACGGGCGGGCACGGCCGCTGCAGGAAAGCCGAGCCTGCCCCCGCAGCACCAGCTCGCCGGGCACACGTGCTCCGATGGAGGGCCTCCGAGCCCCCTGACTTAAGCCGGCGGCCGCCCAGCCTCTTCCGGGCTCGCGCCTGCCCCGGGGAAAAGGAAACCAGTGCCCCACCACTCTCGCAGGTGCTGGGGCACATGGAAAGGTCAGCCTGGCTCCGACTTCCAGCCCCAGCCGTGTCATGGCCCCATCTTCACCCGACTTGTGTATACGCGTGTCTCCCTCTGTGTGTTTTCACACCTACACGCCGTTTTATCTTCTCAGTGAACAAAGTGCTTTGGACTGGGAAGCTTTGGATAGACCTGAAAGAACAGAAAGTTCCCCTGCAAGGGGCTGATCGGGGTGAAATAGCAGCAGCCACAGGTTAACCTTGTTAAAGAATTTGCAGAAGAGGCACGCTGCCCTCTAGTAATCTCATAAACCACACTGCCCTCAATTGTTTAAACAAGGTGCGACTTTTTTTCTTTCTTTTCATTTTGTAAACGTTTCCAGTACTTGTCACGCAATAGGATTAAAACACTAATATTTGTCTAATCCAAAAAAAAGGAAAGAGAAACACTTTATGTGGAAGGATTGAAAAACATCTCCTTAAGTGCCAATTTTCCAGAGGAACTGCAGACATAACATTAAGCTATACAAATAGTCACGATTAAGTGGGAGTAAACATAACCACCACTCTTCTTTGCTATCGTCTTCCTCGCTCCTCCAAAATTTAGCAGGTCAAAATAAAACAGATTAATTACTCTAATGTAATCTAATACAGGGACCGAGCTTTGAGGCATAATAAATACTTTTATTCACCCTCCCCCCCTTCCAAAGGCTTACAGGAAATCGGCCCAGCAGGTGAGATGATTTTAAACACTTTACTCTGTTGACACAAAACAGCTTTCACTTATGTATAAAAACTGGAAAGTGAAACTGACCAGACTAGTTTTTACTATCCACGCTTAGTAAACAGAAGAACAGATACGTGGAAACAGAAAATAGAGGGGGAAAAGTATAAAAATTTTTTCTATTGCTTTGAACTTTTTGAAAGGTTTATAAAGTGTTGGGAAAAATAGATGGTTTTAGTGACTTCTATTCCCACTCCCCTGTTATTTTTAAACCTAAATTTGACCTAATGATTAAACTGTTATGCAATGGCTAATGGAAACTGGTACCTCAGAATAAACTAAAATGCCAAGTGTTCCAAATGACATCATCTTTTACCAAGATGGCTGGTTCCAGCAAACAGCTCAGAAATGCCAACTGCAACTAAACTCCAAGCTGCTCCTAGATATTTTTTAGTTTAGTGCTGGAGTGCTTCTGAACTTAGTCACTGTTGGTGTAGCAGAAAAAGAAAACAAACAAAAAAAAAGAGCTTGGCTTTGCTTTTCACAAACATATAGCCAATCTACATAATTCTGTTAACAAGGGGTCCAGATTAATTTTCACTGAAACTTATTTTTCTTCCTGATTTTTCCTCTTTGATATCTGGTATGAGACAATGAGCTTAAGTTGGAAATGGCTTCTAGAAAACTCACTTGCTGAGTGAAATGGAAGAGTAAAGCTAGCAGGGAGTAGCACCACAGGGGGAAACTCAGATTTAACTGCATTCTTTCCACTTTATTCAGCTCTGAGATAGACCTTAAGAGCGGGCCTGGCTTCCATACTTCACAAGTTTCTATTGTTCCTTATCCCATAGTATCTTAAGGCTTCCACTTTTAGAACTTATTGCAACAGGAACATTCCTTCCAGACAGAGCAGGGGGCATATTAGCTCTCTCTTAGCTTTATCACTAAACTAACTGCCTTGGAAAGGCAGCCAGGCTGCTTCCATCGGCAGAGGGGTGGAGTTGAAATGCCTGGCTTTCTTAAAGGGCCCACATCATGGTATGCTTAAGAATGTACTGATCTTGAATAGGATTTGGAGGAAATCTGCATTTTGACATGGTACTTGTAGGCAGTAATCGTGTTTAGAAGACTTAAGGGGAAAGCCATCTTCTAAAGCTTCCCTGCTGATACAGATGGGAATAAACTGGAGAATATTTTTTCACTGCGATTTTTATTGTTATTGCAAAGCAGAAGCGTGTCTAATTTTCTACTTCTTGTAAAAGTGGTTCCCCTTATAAACAGACCATTTATCACAACACTGGTTCAGTAAATAGCATTACAATGGAAACACCAGTTACAAAACCAATAATGTCATTATAAAACTCCTCAGCTTTCTAGGGGAAATGAATCAAAAGAATAAATGGTAGCATGTGCTGCCTAGAGGAAGAAGGGAAAAATTTAGATAATCACCTCCATTGGAGAAATAATGAAACTTAGCTTGGTCCTAAATGTAAGCTGCAAAAATGTATAAACAAAGGAAAAGAATAATCTGTAATCTAACTGCAAGTCAACATCAACATCTTTCTTTGTCTAATGCCATTTTTGCAGCTGATTTATTCTATGACCTTGGAACTTTAGTGTTTTTAATAGTAATATAAAAATAATGGCATAAATCATAGGAAGATTTTGTTAATTTTTAATGGCTATAAATAAATTGCTGTACATACCTAGTTACATTAACAGCAGACCTCAGTGATTTTATTCAAATTCAGTGGATTTGGTGGTTACACTGTTACAATTTTGAAAAGAATTGGATTGAGCACTATGAGCTGGCTATCACAGAGTGTCAGAATTTGGATAGAATCATACAAGAATGTGTCCCTGTGGAGCTATCATTTCTTGAAAGGTAGTTGATAGTGTTTGTTTAAATACAACTTTGATTTAAAGGCTCTGTCTAGTCCCTAAGTCTAGCAAGGGTTTTCTCAACCTTGGCAATATTGACACTTGGGCCTGGATAAATCTTTGTTGTGGAGAGCTGTCCTGTGCATTATAGGATATTTAGCAGCGTCCCTGGCCTCTTCTCACAGAGGCCAGAAGCAGGCCAACCAGATATGTCTCCAGACGTCGCCACATATCCCCTTAGGGGTAAAATTGCCCCCAGTTGAAAACCACTGATTTTCTAGAACAATTACTTTTGCAGGGCAAAGGCAGCCCCATTTTGGAGTAGCTTTTCTGGCAACACATTGATTACATCGCTGTGAGTCATCAAGAGAATATCCCTCTCATTTTGTATTCCCAGTGTAAACTAGCCAGGAGATCCCGAGCCCAGACAACCACATTCACTCTTCATACTATATTGCTGTCTTCAGCTACATCTATTTCTTTAACATGATTTTTCAATATTTTACACTTACTGATTGTTAAACTACCCTTGCACATGCAACATCCCACCCTGGTAAGAGATTATGACTCTAAGATGAATTACATCTCTCATCTCTATCCTCCTGTTTTTGATCACTCATTATTGGTTCACAGGAATCGAAACCATTTATTCAGATGACAGTCTAAAGAAATGTCACCACCTATAGTAAATCAGATGAGAAACAAATAAGAATTTCAGCAAAAATAAACATATGTGTCTGGAGATTGGGCAGCCTGTAAAACTGACAGCTTGTCCTGACGCAGACCATCTAGAATTGCTGACCAAGAAATGCTTTTTAAATCCTATTCAATACACAGCACACCTCAAAAGTAATGGGAATTCCCAGGCTCTAGTAGCAAAGAGGAAAATGAAACAACCCAATAGACAACATAATCCTGTTACATTTATGCAATGGGATAATATACAGCAATGCAAATGAACAAATTGCATCTACATGAAGCAACATGAGTGAGCCTCACAAACATAATGATAAGCAAAGGTAACCATACCACAAAAGAATATATGCTGTATGACTGCATGTATATGCAGTTCAAAAATAGGCAAAAATGGGCCAGCCCGGTGGCGCACTGGATAGTGCGCCGCTTGGGAAGCGCAGCGGCGCTCCCGCCCGAGGGTTCGGATCCCACATACAGACCGGTTCCCGCTCACTGGCTGAGCGAGGCGCGGGGGCAACACCGAGGGTTGTGATCCCGTTGCCGGTCCCCGGTCCGGTACGGGGGCAACACTGAGGGTTGCGATCCGCTGCCAGACACGGAAAAAGACAAAAGACAAAAAAAAAAAAAAAAAAAAAAAAGGGAAAATTTATTTTTTTTGGGTTGGGGAGTTAAAAAAAATTTTTCCCTTGGGGGGGGGGGGGGTTAAAAA